TGCCAACGCCGGCCACCGTGGGACCACCGGAGACGACAACCGGCATGCCCACGCCCCCGGCCGAGGATCTGCTGCGTCAGATGAACACCACCCGGCTGTTGCCCAGCTCAGCTGATGCCAACTCGGCGGCTGTCACAACAACCACAGAGCTGGCCATCCGCCAGCGTCGTGCCCTGATCGACACAAGCGTCAGCTATCACTGCTATACGGTGCAAAAGACCGGTGAGTACAGGTGATACGATACCGGTTGATTCAGAAACTAATCAGAACTCCGCCCGTTCTATCCACAGTCAATAACACGATGCAGACGGTTCGCGGCTGCTCGCGTGTTGAACCGGAACAGTCCGTCTGCCAGGAGCTGCAGGTCCAGAGCAACGAAACCAAACTGGCCAAATGTGATCCGTGCAGCATGAATGCCTGCAATGGTGCCACATCCACGTTCCAGTCCACGCTGTTGGCGACACTACTGTTTGCCCTGGTCGCCGCTCTCCTGCAGCGCAATTGAAGGAGTGAACAACAGCCACGCCCCCTACCGCTCACCTCCAACTTCACTCGTCTTCCGTTCCATTGTCGCCCACTCCAGCCCGGTGTTATTTAGTACATATTGCTCATTTGTTTAAGGTACACACAGACACACAAACACACACACAAACACACACACACACACACACACAAACAGATGCACACACAGACAAACACACAGTCACTGAAGCGTTCTACATGGACGCACCTGGGGCAGGGGTTGCCTTAATTGAAGAAATAACACTTGTGAATTTTAAGCTATTGGGCTTGTGAAAATCTTAGCTTCAATATAGAAACTTCAACAAACCCCCCTTACCCTTATGCCCCCCCTAGACACACGAGCCCCTTTATCAAAATCCTGCCTACGCCCTTGAAGCGCCTCTGCTCTCATTTGTTAAGTCATGCGAAAATTTATGTAATTTGTAAGCGACACACACACACATACACACACACAAACAAACAAACACACACGAATATCGAAATATATACATATATGCCTATATATAACTTAATATGAACTAAAGCTAACCAAATGTGAAGCATAAGACAATTTACTTGATATGTTATAAACTATTTATACATTAAACGATTTTTCAAGATCTTCTCCGAGATGTGAAAACTCTTTTGCAGTTTCTCAATTTTCAATTCAACTTTGTTGATTTTATGCAAATATAGTAAAAAATAATATTAACATGAATAGATTAAATGTTTCTTAAATGCAGTAAAAATCAGTCAGAATCATGGCAAATATAAATAATTCTGCATTCATGTCGGGATTATAAACCGAACCGGATTCAAAAAATATTTCTTTTATATTTTATTTAAAAGGTAACTAATTCAAGATAAATAATAATACGTAAATATATTAAACTAAAGTAAACTAAAATAAGAGAGAAATTATTTGAACCAAGAACTGGGTTCATAGATGACCAAAAACAGGTTCACGAACCGAAGCAGAAGACACGCTTCTGGTTCGAGCCGTAAAGCGAAAGTCTGCAAGCGTTTTTTTTCAGATTTCTGCCATGTTATAAATTTTATATCCAAATTATGTTAATCTTAATGGGATAGTTGATAGCTGAGAAAAGCCTGTTTATAACATATTTAACGCAGCGCTAGATATGTGGATAGGTAGACTAAGACATTGTTGACTAAGCCAACAAATCAGAAAGTCAGATAAAGCTCGATACATTGTGTCCCCAAGCGATAATTATTTGGGTCTTGGTTCTGGTTCGAAGCGCTTGGCTTTATGGCCACTGGGTCAATGTTAGGTCCATTGCGCATACGCCGCATTGTGCCAACAAATCAAGCCGGAAGAGGCATACTTTTAGGCCCAACTATGCTAAGTAAATTTGCCCAGGGCAAACACAGTTCGGCCAAAAGCAACGTGGGCCAAGTTTCCAACAATAAGATAAGATAAGATTTCATTAATAGCAAAAACAAAAAAAAAATATTTATAAAATAAAAAACTTGTGATTCTTTTTGTATTCGTACACAGTGCGTGCGAAAAGTATGCGCACCAAGGCATAAATCATGCTATGAAATGTAGAGCCATAAATTATGCCGACAATTGGCCATATGCTGGTATATACACATAAATATGAATACATGAATGAGTTGGGAAAACGTAGAGCTATGCCTTTAGAGATATGTCTAGAGATAGTTGATAACTGGAATTCTGAGAAGTGCCCCACAGATAAAACAAGTGAAGAACCAACTGAAATGCTGACCTCTAAAACTGACGTATATTGAAAACAAATAACTGACCAGATAAGACCTACATTGGCCTGACAAATGTGTGTCACAATCGACCTTCATGAAAGCTCCCCTTTTTTATTTACCCAATAAAGTGGCGAGATTTGATAATAATTTCCATCTGAATGGTGCTTCAGAATAAGTTTTTAAATATATAAAAAGAGCGCGATAAGCCGTTCAGGGTGAGTGAAAGTGTTCATTAATTATGGTTTATCTTCTACTACGATAAGGGGCGCTCATTAGCAATGAGTGGACTTTTCATTTTCTTATGACTTGAATGAACTAAAAAAAAGGGACTCGAACACAATTTGGCCCATGTGAATTGCAAAACTATATCTGTAAGTGTGCCGCCTCGAAGAGGTGTACTTGATTAGGAAAATATCTCTTATTACGAACCATAAAAATAAGCTCGTGCTTACTTTGTCTTGATATTGATGCATAGATTTCACTTACATAAAATCTACTTAACAGCCACAAAGCAGATTTACGAACATTGAAACGTAATTATAGAAAAACTATGAAGGAATCACTTCCATTCTAATCTCAAAAGAAGAGTCCACATTCATTACAATTATTTTCCTTCGTTGCAATGTTTCGTATTAAAATTAGACATTATATTACGTATACGTATGGCAAAATTCAAGTGTATAAAAGTATTTATTTGTTTTGCTGATGAAAGATTTTTTAATTCGACAGTTCGACATGAAAAAAGTTGAAAGAACGGCTGATAAAATATATATGTATATATATATATATATATATATATATATATATATATATATATATATATATAAGAACGACTACGCTCGGGTCAGTCGTGCATTTGCAACATCTTAATAATCTAAGAAAATAATTAAGATTCTTTGATTTTTTAAATTCCTTCTGATTATATCTTAAGTGAGCTGATTTACACATAAATTTAGCCAATTCTTAAATTTTTACTCTTTTCTTTTGTTTAATATTTATTTTTAACATAATACGCTTGCATTTTTTATACATAAATTTCACCAAAAATTATTTCTTTAAATTTTTTATTTTATTTCTTATTAATATTCTAATATTTACTTTTAATATTTTATAATAAGCATCGCAAGCTTCGCATTATATTTTATTTTATTGCATTATAAAGAGGGGGATGTTTTTATGCTTTTTTGCAGTGTTTTTTTTTTTCTTTTTTGCTTTTAAGCAAATTGGATTATCTATATTTACATTAAAATAAAATCATTTGCTTAGCTTTACGCGATGATAAATGCGGAAAACATTCTTCTAGATTGTGTTAAACGGGGAACTTTAACTGCAAATGCACAGGTGATGTCACAGAACTGTAGATCTCTCAGTCTAGATCAGAATAGGGCTTTAGTTCAAAGAACTCGACTCGCAAAGCTGATAATGTATAAATCTAAGACATAAGTATTAGAAAGTATGTGCGGATATATCTTCTTATATCAGACACAAATATTTACCTTGATTTACCCAGTTTTTATTTAGGGTTTTTTTTATGTTCAGCTATTAAAACGTTTTTTGCCCAATATATGGAACAGTTAGAGAGTTCGCTTGTGTACTTTGAGCAGACAAAGGTTATTTGTTAAACGGCTGTGAATCATAGGCAATAAATTTCTTGCCAAAATATGCACGGACAAACAAAATTCCGATACGCATGTCTTTGATATCTATATACATATATATCTATATACTAATATCTATATATATTATCATTTGTTTATCAATGTGTGGCGTAACCATAAACCGTTTCACGGGCTACTTTCGAAGGTTTGCCAACTTAGTATCTAAGCATTAAAAACGACTATAGCCTTGGGCTTAGATGCCTTAGAAATCGATAGAACTGATTAGATTCCATTACACGACTGTAGAAGTCTATATTTCAGTGTGAACTGCATTTATGGGCCAACTCAAGAGTTAAGCATTTAAGTCAGCGGCTGATCTAGTAAATACCCACGGACTGCCGCTTTCAGACTTCGGAATGAGCATTTCAAGTGGCCAGTTCAACACATTGCTTATCACATGGCATTCTATTGAGGTATACGGCCTAATTGAACCATATCCTGAGGAAGTGCGTTCTAAAAGCAATAGCAAAAGCGACACTAAATAAAAAACCCCTGTAAATCGCAATCTCCTTATCAGCGGCAGCAGCAGCAGCAGAGTCGATTTTATCAACGTCCTAAAACACAATGGCCACAGTGAAAGCTCTTTAGAGCGAACCGATCACAACTCGATATAAATATACATAAAGGAGGAAAAAATATATATTGCTTCATTTGAGGAATCTTTCCCTTAGGTCAGTTCGTGGTAATGGAACCTCAACTTCACATTGAGAATTCTTGCTGCCTCAATAAGTTAATTTCCTAATAATCAGAATAATACAAAAATAAAATAAACAACGCTGGAGCAATGTCTGTGCCAGGTTCGCTTGAAGGTAAAGTAAATGCAGGAATTGAACCAGATCTTAACTATTGCCCAATCATCTTGCAGGTATTAAGATATTTATAGGAAAAACAAGTAACAAGAGAGAGGAAATGGGCTATAAAGAAGTTGTACTAAGTGTTCGTCAAGTGGAGCTTTGACTGTGGCCAAAAGCAGCCAACGGGGCGCTGTGCTGTGGCGCCTTATCAGTGCCATTGGCCCGACCCGACCAACCCATGAGTATCGGGCCTGCTGCCAAGTGATAAAAAAAAAGCCATGTTAACAATATATTTAATTGGTAGTTTGCATTCGAGAGTCGAGCCGTGCTGTTGTCTACAGTTCTTGTCGCGAGCCAACGATCTCGCGGCCATTTCAACTGATCCTTAACAAAAAAAAAAAAAATATCCTTTTAAGCATAACAAATCGAAAATGCGTTTAATAAGCCTCGTCATATTTTGCCTGTGCGTGTGCGCTGCCATTTGGCCAGGTGAGCATTTGGCCGCGTTTAAAAACGCGCACAAAACGCGCGCAATTTAATTAAGATTTATGCAATCATCAATATTCGTTGAAAATGTGAAAATGGCATAATTAAACTATATCTAAATATATTTCAAGCAAACATAAATAATTATTTTGATGAATTGACTAAGAAATAAGAGCAAAAAAAATCGTTTAAAAAAAAAGTGCAACACGTCTCTTTCAATCAATCAAAGTTAAGAGAAGAAAAAAAAAAAAGGAATCAAATAAAAAATTAAAAAACAATACCAGATCGATCGATTTCATTTCTTTAGTGTTTTATGTATTTCACATATGAACTAACTACGATAGTTGTACCAGGCCACACACACACACGCACACACACACGCACACACACCTTATCGGCATGTTGTACTCAATTCAGAGAAAAGAACAAAAAATTAAAACAAAAAAAATTATACAGACCAGGGCCATGCCCATTATTGTAATTAGTTCACATTTGGAATTACGCATGCCGCAAAAATGTTCCGGCCTCATGAATTTTTATCGTCTTTCCAGAACCAGGACACCTTATCAGAAGGCCTTTTTTATTATATTTTTAAATTGCAATTCATGAATTTTAAATGCTGTTACATTTTTGCCAGCTATGAACAAGATTTTTCTGATTGATTTAAATTTATAGCAACTCTTTTTATCATTTGCCTATTGCATCATTTGGGCGAGCTACAGCGAGTTTTTCAACTACACTCAGCGAAAATTGCAAGTATTATGTAGTCAAAGTATTTCCCAACCTTGGAAAGGAAATTCCCATTTCAATAACATTTGTTTAAAAGTTCTTGATTTCTTACTTTAAGAACTCCAAAATGACTAATTCCAAAATTTAATGTCTGTTTTCTTAGTCTAAGAAGTTATATGCTCTTTTCACGCAAGCATATTCTTAAAATAAGACTTATTTACTTTGCTTAAGATGTTTCTCATATTTATTTTATGCAATAATAAGAGTTAACTGCAGATTTGGGAATATTCATAGCAATCATATCAAAAGTCAGAGCGTAGTTTTTCTCTCAGTGTAAAGCCCTACAGACTGCTTGTTCACAAAGTTAACGAATCGAACTAAAGATTCTTTGTAATGTTATCGTAAGTTGGCTGCATTACACACAGAACACACACCCCTCCATTCGATCCATCCATCAATCAGTGTAATTGTCGACTCGAGTTTGCTGTTTGTATGAAACACATTTTTATCTACGTTACTTTATAAATATTTACAGCAAATGCGCTCCAGTGCTACCAATGCATCGGATCCGAGTGCGATGATCTGGATGATTCGAAGGTGGTTAGTTGCAATTTGGATGAGACGACATCCACTTTAACAACGGAAGATACCACGACTGAGAGTTTGCCGGACACGTCGACGACGTCGTCGGGTAGTTCGACGGGAGGATCCACAACTTCGCCAGGCCCTACAGTGGACACGCCAGCCACAGAGTCGTCTCCACCATCAACGACAGATCAATCAGACACCACAACAGAAGCCACCTCAGAAACCACAACCACAGGAGAGCCATCCGAATCAACGGAAACCACAGAAACCACAACAGGAGAGCCATCAGGATCGACTGAAACCACAGACTCGACTACAGAAGAGCCATCAGGATCGACAGAAACGACAGAATCCACAACAGAATCCACAACCGATTCCACGTCCGATTCCACATCAGATTCCACATCGGATTCCACATCGGATTCCTCTCCAGGTTCCACAGCCAGTTCCACATCAGAATCGACATCAGAGTCCACATCGGATTCCACATCAGATTCAACATCGGATTCCTCATCAGGTTCAACAGCCGGTTCCACATCAGATTCGACATCCGAGTCCACATCAGATTCCACGTCAGATTCCACAACAGGTTCCACATCAGATTCTACATCAGATTCCACATCAGATTCCACCTCAAGTCCAGAATCCTCCATACCATCCTCTTCGGGATCCACAGAATCCTCAACAGCAGCCTCAACAGGATCCTCCGAGACCGGAGAATCAACCACATCTGGATCCACAGAATCTTCAACATCCTCGTCAGCAAGTGTCGTAAATCCTGGCAACTTGGAGAATATTCAGTTAGCCCTGCAACAGGCGGCATTGCCTGGTGGCATCCGCTCCGGTCGCGCTCGCCGCTCCCTGGCTGCCCAGGCGGCCGATCAGCTGATACGCAACTATCGCTCCTACGAGTTCAACGGACGCGCCACCAACTACCGTACAACGGCCTGCTACAGCATCGAAAAGGATGGCGGTGAGTAGCGTTGGAAGAGCAGGCTCCAGTCGGGTGCTAACGACTGCGCAATGCTCTATTTAAAGTATTAAAACAGCTTTAAGTACTTAGTTTAATAGTTAGATCTTAAACTCAATTTTAAAATTGCTGAACTTTCTTTAAGAATGAAAATTCTTATTTTAAGAATGCCAAAATATCTAACCCCAAAATTAGAGGCCTGTTTACTCAATCATAAAAGTTGGGTAGTCTTCAAGAAAACATTTTATGTTTAATTCAAGCATAAATTTTCTTAAAATAAGTATTGTATACTTTGCTTAAGAGCTTTTTCTTAGTTTTTGTGTATCCGTTATTCTTCTGCTGTCTCTCAAACTGTAACGCCCAGAATGTGACTCACAAACTGTGACATTAGGAAATATTCAAGTTTGAGATTTAATGGACAAAAATTGTTGTAACAAATTTCTAGATCTGCATTTATCTATCCCTCAAATTTGCGTACTCCAGATTTGAAACTGTGAATATATATTGAACAAATATCTTCGGATATATCGCAACCCCAAAGACTCTACTTAGACAGCAGGACGAGCATGACTCAAAACCCAATATACCCGTTCGATGCACTTTACGAACAGTGTATCAGATTTGTGATTTTTCTGCTTCTTCTATTCCAACAGAGATTCAGCGCGGCTGTGTCTGGATACCCGAGGGGCAATCCGGCTGCCAGGCGGTGCGTGAGAAGGTCGACCTGCAGCAGAATTCGGTCAATGATCTCTGCGATGTCTGCCAAACGGATAACTGCAATGGCAGCGCCAGTCTGCGCATGTCCTTGGCAGCGCTGCTGCTTCTGCTGGGCCTGGGCTTGAGGAGCCTCTTCTAGAGCATTCGCAAGCTGTGCTAATGTTTACTCTGTATTATATATATATATGCCTATTCCCCGCTAAGTGATTTGTATTTGTACTCGTAACGAAATTCAAGAGAAATTAAAAACTGGAAATATATTAAATCAAAAAATTTGCCAAAAATATTGTATTAATTTTACAAGCGTTATTGTTAAAGATATCAGCTGATAATAATCAAAACCAATTAAAAAATCGTAAATAGTTTATTGTCTTTTGTCATAGAAAAATTTACTTTAGATAAAACCAAGAATTCGATTTCGATAATGCAATAAAAACTGAGGGAAATTATGGAAACCAACCGGTAAAATGGCTCAAATCGAACATTAGTTGCTTTCTTTGATTTTATTATGAGTCATATAATATATATCTATATATAGACTACAGAGTGGTCGTCAATCGGAAGACATTTTCAATTTTACTTTATCAAAAATTCGAAAGTCTTCAAGTCTTATACAGAAAAGGGAAATTAAAATAGGCAATCTGATAAACTAAATCAAATATTTCTTATAATTAGTATCTAGTAGACCCGACCTTGATGCATATGCTCATTCTATTTTCTCTGCGTAATCTATAAATTTATTTATGCTTTAAGTACATGGAAAACTGAAAACAGTTTTCGTTTTACCTTAAACCTCATTTTACTCATTACTAAAACGAGGCACAAACGAATCCAGTTTAAAAAGAATCTTTAGCTTAAAACAATCCAATTTGAATGCTTCTTAAACTAAAAACTATTATCAACTTTATTTGAGACAACTTTAACTCAATGCTCAAGCTTAATTGAAGTCATAACATACTATATAATCATAGGTAAGATGATCTTGGACCAACTTTAAGGGGATTTTTACTAAGCTAATTGAAAATCGTCCCTTTTATCAATGTGGATCATATAGTATCACAGTCATATTATATAGTCAAACGATCTTTATGGGACAATTTTAAAGGGACTTTTGCTAAGCTTATTGAAGATCGACCTTATTTTTTTTAATATCATATAGTCTTCCTACTTTATACCAATTTTTTAAAGTGTAAGAATCGCTACAAAAACCTTGCACCCACAGCGATATTTAATGTTCGACTTGATTCTGATTCCAAGAAAAATATATAGCCATATATATATATATATATTTATGTATAGTCCGAGCTCATCGAGCAACGGTGCAAAGCAATCACAGCTCTTGGTAAATAAATACTTAGATATATGGCCAATTATCATGAGATCACTTGAATGGGTGCGTTTCCACAGAACTTTATCTAATCGTAGTCATCATTTCGAACTCGTGAGGATTATAAATCAGATATATTGTATTTCTGCACATAACACCTAACATATATGATACTATTCTCCGCACCTTTATTGCATCTGCGTCATAAATTAATAGCTCGGTACCCTTGAATGCAGTTATTGCAGCTAGAAAATATATTTATGTGAATCACTTTATATATAGAAAGTATATATAGTACGATGAAAAATGCTTGGATGAAATACCAGATCGTTATTGTATTCATAAGAGTTCTTGTCTTAAATTGATTCAAATAAATATTTTTTCTAATCTTCACATTCGATTAACACAATAAAGTACTTAGTCTAAAGTGGAGCTCATAAATTATTCTAAGCTAATGTTCAATAAATTGACAATTACTGAACGCGCGACACGGAACAATATTTGATTGTTCAGATAGAATCTCTATAACATATAATCTCAACTAAAGTTACGCTCGCACACTTTTTGCCAGTGCGCTTGACAACGTTTAGCCAAATTGTTTTCATTTAATATCACATTTATTTAAATTGTTTGCTGCTTAAAGCTGCATAATCCTTAAAAAGCTCATGGCCAAAAGCACAAGAAACCATTATTTCAAAAGCCTAGGGCTTTTATCATGTGCACAAACCGCAATCAGCATGCGCTGCCTGCATAAAGCTCTCTCTTTCACACTCCCTCTCGCTCTCTCTCTCTCTCGTTCTGTGCGGCGCGAACTTTAATTTCTTTGAAAATGATTTTGCGGAAAAAGCTCGAGTTGCAATCTTGTCGCTTGCCATATATTCTTTTATCGCCGTTATCAGTGAAAATTAGCTGAGCGAACAAATAGAACAAGGGAAGATAACACAAAATTTCGAATGTGTTGAAATTGATAGGAAACCGCACGGCCAGCGGCTAACTGGAATAAGCAGAGGGCCAGTTAACCAGCAGCAGTCGAGGCAAACGGAGGTTTACCATAATCGAGAATAAAAGAAACGCACTAAAGAAAATCTAATCTAGTTGCAACATGCGAAGCCGTCGAGTGTGCCTTTTGATAGCCACGTTTATCGCAATTGGCCAATTCGGCTGCCAGGCACTGAGTAAGCCCACCCCTGCCCGATGGCTGCCCAATAGGTAAATAAAGTTATTCACAAAAAAAAAAAACTTCATTCCAGGTTGCACAACAACGGGCTCGGCCACGCCCACCATCTGCGGCGAGGGCGTAACGGAGTGTTTTGCCAAATCAGGTAAGTCTCTAAAGGCTCTCGCCAGGTGTCCCATGACTCACTCGAATTACGCATGTAAATATGTACATATGTACATACACAACTACACGGCCAAACAGTTGTAGATAAGTCTCTCAGCCAGTTTCTTTATTGGGCTAAGTTCATTGGTGTGCCTATCTCCGGGCAGCTGAACACGGTGCTCAAGAGCCGATAGCAATAAATACACCAGCAGTCATTATTGGGCATTAGGCTACGTTGTTAAGAAACAAACGACTTCGCATTTGAAGTGCATTGCAAAATCGTACACTGTGAGAATTCCGTTGCAGAAGCATACACTGTGATAAAATATTATTATTATCAAAAAAATCTTATGCTAATTATTTAAAATGAAACAAGGCAGGCGTAAATCTACGAATGATCAATGTTCTTTTTAAGCCCAAGAGTCTTGTATAGGGTATTTTAATTTTGTCATGCAATATGTGACGCATAGAAGGGAACATCTGCCAAGCCATAAAGTATATTTATTTCAGATCTTGATGCTGATCATTAAACTCTGCATAGATCCGTCTTTCTATTGTGGAACGTACAGAATCGGACAGCTATATAATATAGCTGCCATAGGGTAGATCGGTCGAAAAGTTCTGATACTGATAAAGAAAGCTTTTTTATATATATTAAGTAAACTTTAGCAAATTCGGGAATTATTATATCAATCTTATCAACATCGGAACACTATATCATATGGCTGCCATAGGAAAGATCGGTATAAGAGTAGTTTCTTATATGGCAAAATATATGACAAGCTGACATGCGGCATGCCGAGGACATCCTTGCTTATATTGAAAGGGACTAATCTTACAATGCCCCTTACAGATGCCAGCGGAACTGTAACGCGCGGCTGCGTCACGGATGCAACCTGTCCAAGTGCCAACTGTTTGACCTGCAGCACGGACAACTGCAATGCGTATCTGGTGTGCAAACAGTGCGACGGCACCCAGCCGCAATGCGCCACGTCCCAGACGGCGATGGTCACATCCCTGCAGTTGTGCTCGACCAGCGCACAGCAGTGCCTCAATCAGTTGGCGGACAATGGCACCTTGACCCGGGGCTGTGGTGAATGTGCGGCGGGAGTTGGCAATTGCAGTCCATGCAACACGGACAACTGCAATGTGGGCATCTATCCGGCAGATCGACGGCTGTGCTATCAGTGCGATGGGGCCAACTGCCAGACGCTGGACAATGCGACCGTGTTGATGCCGTGCGGCATCTACCAGGCGGAGGCGCAGAAGTGTTATATGATTGGCAGCAGCGCGACGGCCATGCAGCGGGGCTGCCAGAACGATGCGGCCGCCGGCAACAAGTGTGCGGGCGCCACGCCCGATGCCAGCTGCGTCTTTTGCGACACTGAGAACGGCTGCAACAATCGCCCCTACGAGAGTGTCCTGGGCAGCTGCATCAAGTGCAGCGACAACAGCACCTGCGCCGACAGCCAGGCGGCGGATAAGGCCGTGGCCTGCCCAGCTTCGGTCTACACAGAAACCGAAGTCAGCTGCTATACCAAAACGGGCGACGATGGCACCGTGTCACGTGGCTGCACCAACGAGCTGACCGAGGCATGCAACACAACGACCAACTGTGAATCGTGCTCGGGCACCGGCTGCAACATTCAGGCTGCCGGTTTCGGTTGCCTCATCTGTCGCAGCGACAACTATGCGCCCTGTCGCTCTGCGGAAGTTGGAGTCGAATTGTGCCCAGTTGCCAGTCAGACGGGCGAGGATGCAAAGAAATGCTTCAACGGAGAGTGGAGTGAGTAAAACGTTCTTAAAAAAATATACCCAGCAATAAGCTCCGACGTACAAAAGGGAAGGGTATCTTTCTGAGATACGCTCAGAAATACATTCGGAGCTACATTCAAACAAAGATAGACACTCGGGGAATTCTCAGAGACACACATGGAGATACATTCAGGGATGCAAAGATAGACTTAGAGAAATATACTCACAGATTCACTTGGAGGCATATCTCCAAGATACCCTCAGAAATTCTCTCAGAGATGCATTAAGGAATACCTAATAGAATACTCTTAGAGATATATTCACGGAGTATCTCAGAGATACTCTCCGAGAGACTCTTATAGATATGCACAGAGCTACACTCAGTAAAACATTCAGGGATACATTTAGGATAAATCTTAGAGATATATTCAGGGGATTCTTGGGGTCACTTGGGGATACAGCTATATATATACTCAGGGATACACTTACAGATACATTCAGATATACTCTGAGAGATGTTGGGATGCACTCAAAGGATACACATAAAACATTCAGGGCTACACTCAATGAAAAAGATATAGGAATACACTAAGAGGTTTAGACTTGGAGATACATTCCGAGATACGCACAAAGATACACTCAGAGGCACGCACCTAGAGATACAGTCAGAGAAACTCTCATAGATATACTCAGAGATACGCTGAGGGAAACATTCAGGGAAATATTTATGAATACTCTCAGAGAAACAGAAACACACTTAGAGGTTTAGACTTGGAGATACATTCCGAGATACGCACAAAGATACACTCAGAGGCATGCACCTAGAGATACAGTCAGAGAAACTCTCAGAGATTTAGGGATACACTCAAAAGGATACGCTTAGATAACTTATTCTTTCAGTGTAAACTTATGCATAAGCATAGCGAAAACAGATATAATAGGCAACTTTCCACCTTTCCATCTTTATAGATGGGGTCGTGGTGCGCGGCTGCCTGGCTGATGCGACTCCCCTGATGAAATTCCAGTGCACATCTGCAGACGACTCCCGCTGCGAGACGTGCAACATCAAAGGATGCAACATAAAAACCTATAATGGAGCTGCCACGTTGCAGCACATGGGCCTCGGTCTGTTCGGACTGATCTTCGTTGTGAGCAAATATTTGTAAAAAAAAAAAAAAAAGAAAAAAAATTAAAGAAAACAATATCATAACTAATTCTACGTACACCAAAAGCTATCTAACTATGACAAACAAATAAAAAAAATTATATATACATATATATATACATAAGCACATGTAATCAGTACACGGCCAGTTTTGTGAGTCATTTTAGTTATTAATTATAGACTCTTCCCGTTAAAAGCAAATTAGTAGCAAACCGCAAAAAAAAACGAAGGAAAAAACTCTTTAGAAAACTTTTTGGAAAGATTGGACCAACGCTTGAGAAATCAATAAAAAAAAATATAATAAATAATAAAACATATACAAATTTTACTTTTATATTTTATCATGGCTGATAGCGTTATTTGAGCTTTGTTTAAAATGCAAATTGTCCATGAAATATTAGTTTCATAATATTATTAAATACTTTCAGCAATTGCAAATACTTTATTAGCTTGTTGTTCGCAAGGTTTTCGTTATCATTAATAAATAATAGATAATTAGCTGCTTATCTATATCAACAAGATTATTGAACCGATTGTTATACCATTCATAGAGGCTATTTGAAGTAATATATAGTAGAAATACAACAGTAGAGGGTATACGATACGGGATATGCTTGTTAAACTATTTTTACAGGGTATTCTAGTTTAGCTATTTTACTTTAAGACTTTCAAAATTATCCAACACTTGCTTAAAAGCTAAGCTAAAGCGACTCCAGCTCTGCCTTTAGACTTGCTCCAACGCAGCTATAAAGCATAGAAGCCAGATGGTTAAGCTGCCCAGGATCGGAGCTGCACTGGCCAATGCAGCCAGCTCCTTGTTGCAGAGCGGACCGGTGCACAGCTTGCAGAGCTCCGTTTCCTGGCGGCAATATTTATTACCCTCCTCGGTCAGGTCCGCCGTGCAGCCGCGCATTATCAGCTGTGTGTCACCTAGACGAGGATATAGATACTTAGTATAGTAATTAAATTAATCGAAGGTACGTTGGATAAAGCAATATCAAAAGTAATTTTAAAATATCTGAATTGAAAAAATTGTAATAATTTTTCTTAAATAATTACATTGAGCGAATAGGTCTCGAACCGGGAGCTTCTCGTTTGTGAGTCGCGCGTTCTCACACTGAACCAAACGTGTTCATTTCCTACTAGCAGCAAATCTTCCTAGCTAAAGCGAAAGCTTATTGAAATTAAGAGAAAACGAACTTTAAAATTGTTACTAAAATTGTTCAAGTTTCTATTTTAAGCATGACCTAAGAGTTGTAGCTAAACTAGTCTAAAAGCAAACTTCTTCCTGCAACCTCACAAAACCATGCCTAACTTCCCTGTTTTTATCTATTTCACTTACGTTTGAACAGCGTATAGCATCCAAAGCGTTTGGAATTCGGCGGGCACTGCTGACGCTCCGCGGGCTGCCGCAGACAGCTGCCATTCCGATAGCTGGAGCAGCTGAAGCAGCTATTGGGCAGCAGGGGCAGCGACAGATTCACTTGCTTTACTGCGGGCTCAGCTGCCGTTGGAGCTGGCATCGTTGGAGCTGGCATCGTTGGAGCTGTCGTCGTTGGAGCTGTCGTCGTTGGAGCTGGCGTCGTTGGAGCTGGCGTCGTTGGAGCTGGTGTCTCTGGACTGGTCGCCTCATGTGGCTCCGCTGCATCATCCTGATAGTCCATGGAGTGTGTGGCTTCTGCTGACTGCGCTGCATTGCTGGGTTCAAGTTTCGTCTCCGGTTCCGCTGGCGGCTCAGTTGCAATTTCCGTCTCTTCCATTGCCTTAGTTTCGCTTCCCTTGCTCGTTTCTGTTTCCGGTTCGGCTTCATTTGTATCCGCTTGCTGCTCCATTGATGCAATTGCCTCTGGTTCGGCTGGCGGCTCAGTTGGATTTTCCTGGTCCTCCACAGCCTTAGCTTGCCTTGCCGACTCTGGTTCCGTTTTCGGGCTCGGTTCAGTTTCAGTTTCCGGCTGTTCCATTGACTCTATTTTTCTGGATGTGTCCACTTCTAGTTCCGGCTTTTCTTCAGCTACCTTTTCCTGCTTTTCCATTGATTTCCTTTCCTTTGGCCTGCTCAATTCTGGTTCCGCTTCAAGCTTCTTTTTGGTGTCCTGCTGCTCCAATGACTTGGTATCCGCTGCTTCACCCATTTCTGGTTCTGGTTTCATTGCCTTTGTTTCCGTTGCCTTGCTTGATTTTGGTTCCGGTTCCGGTTTACTTTTGGTTTCCTCCTGCTCCAAGGACTTTTCCAGCTGCCCGCCCGTTGCTGATGAGTGCATCATATGCGTCGTGGCCATATCCATATCCACAGTCATTTCAGCCGCCTGATGCTGATCCTGTCCCTGCTCCAGATCCTGCTCGCTTGCAGCGCTGCCTCGCAGGAACAGCAACAGGCTTAGCGTGAACCAACTTAGATGCTTAACATTCATCGCTAATTTGTCGGACTTTTCTGTGAGTCAAGCTGTAAATATGCACTGATTGGACACAATTCCTGAAGAGCTTTGCAAATAGCCTGACCAAATAAATTGGCTACAATTTTCTCTTGGCGTCCGTCCGTTCCTGTCCCTTTGCTGCCGCGCGAGCAACTGCGGCAAGGCCATCAAATTGCTGGCCATATGTCGCTGATTGTCACGCAATTATCATACTCTAAATTAAATCGATATATGCCACTCGACCCATTTAACTGACCCCGCCCCCGTGCCCCGCTGCACCACTATTCCCACACCCTTAACTAGCTCCGTTTCATCCTGGCCGCAAAGCGAGCCTCCTGAATTATTGATCATGTGAACATTAGGCATTTCTAAAAACCTGCTTTCCAGACCAAGTCCATATGATATGTCCATTCTGCATTTGACCTCTGACATCTGGGCCCAGCCGCAAGGTCAAAATGCATTCAACCTGTTCCTATGCCTATTATTATGCCAAGAATAACATTTTCCTTATTTCAACCGCGGCTGAAAAACTCTTTTCTGATCCATGCGGCTAGATTATATAGTTGGCCACCATTCCATTCCATTCCAAAAGTTGACCAAAAATGCCATGGCTCGAAATTTGCCACAGTCATAATTTTGTGAAAACTCAAACAATTTCTTCATGTTTTGGCTGCTAAATGAATTCTTTATTTAAATTCAAACACGTTCTTTTCAAAATCCAATTAAAAACTTACTCAAATATTTTCCATAAAAATCTCTTTTGGTCTTATGTCAAAATTGTACACAACAATATCTTTGTCGAAACTCAATTGTTGCTTGTTCGTGATTTCATGTAATTCTTAGAAAATAGAATATATCTATTAAATTTAAGGCACCCTTTCGGATGTATTATCGCCCATTATTCGTATATATAGTATATAGTAGTACTTATAGCAAGTATTACCCATTTATGGCTTGCCATTGTTCTCGAGCGCCAGAATGCGGCTTATCCTTATCTCTATCGGACTGATAGAGGCCTTTGTTTGAATGCCCTGTGATAAGCCATAAAACGGATCTGCTCATTGTCAATGCACAAAAGTAATTTATTCGAGTGCAGGTGGCTGCCAAAATGAACGTGCCAATTGACAAGCTGCTAATCCTGTTGCTAGGCTGTAAGTGGAGCCAACTGTTGCCCTTAATGTTTTTCCAATAATGCGATTATTATTCACAGGGCTCGCCCTGCGGCCGGTCAATGTTGCGGGGGCCATTGTCTGCTATCACTGCGATTCCATTGCGCTGCCCGAGTGCGCCCAGACGCTGGGCGAGGTGGGCCTGCTGCCGTACAAGGAGTGCGCCGCGGAGCTGACGTGTGCCATGTCCATTGGTGGGTAGCTGGAAAAGATTGTAAGCAAATCTCAATTGGGTAATCCTTTGCAGTCGACTCGATTACGTATCGCGGCTGTGGCGGCGAGACGCCCACCACACAGGCCAGCTATTCCAAAAGGTGTTCGAGCAATCTGTGCAACGCGGGCGTCTATCCACCTGGTCGGCTCAAGTGTCATCAGTGCGCAGGGGCAGGCTGCGTGGCTGCGCCGGCGGGCAAGCCGCGGCCCTGTCTTTATCATCAGGAGCAGGATCATTGCTATACGGAAATCGTGAATGCAGCCCTAGGCTATCGCGGCTGCAGCTCCGACGCCAATTACACGGCCGGAACAACGGCACAGCTCTGCGAGATTAACGGCTGCAATGATGCACAGGGCGCCTGGACCTTAAGCTGTGCACGCTGCGATTCACGCGAGGCGCGCGGCTGCAAGATGGATCTTTTCCAGCTGGGCAGCCAATGTAATGTCAGCCAGTTTGAGCAGTGCCAGCAGCAGTTGCTGTTGGGCCGTGAGCAGCAGCAATTCTGCTACACCTATCGCAATCTGAGCCGCGTGATGCGCGGCTGCTCTGCAGAGCTGCCGGCAGAACTGGAGCCAGTGCGGGATCAGCTAGTGACCTGTGCCACGGGCGACAACTGCAACGTGGGCTGCCTGCCGCAGCAGCGCTGCCTTAGCTGCAACTCCGCGGATCAGGAGACGTGCCGCAGCAATGCCACAGCGCTGAGCAGCAGCGTGTGCGGCTCCGCGGAGGCTTCCTCGTGCTATACCTGCGAATATGACGATTGGCAGGTGCGACGCGGCTGCGGTGCACCGCCCAGCGACCCGCACATACTCCACTGCCACGAATGCGCCGGCAGCGATGAGTTGACGGCCTGCAATGTACTGGACTTTACGCGTTGCTATCGCTGCAGCAGCGACAATGCTGCCGGCTGCGCCAACTGGGAGCAGCCCGGTGGCATTTACATAGAGCAGTGCGATGTGCCTGCAACACCTTGTCTGATGATTAACTACACGAATGGCACCACCGAGCGTGGCTGCCTGCGTGCGGATTTCAACTGCAGCAGCGCATCGGTGGCCAGCTGTCGCAGCTGTGTGGGCAGCTTTTGCAACACGGGCGCCTATCCCGAACAGCGTCTGTGGTGCCATCAGTGCGTGAATTGCGAGCAAGTGGAACGTGGACATAATGCGCTGCCCTGCGGACGATTGCCCAATGAGCCGGAGGATCAGGCGGCCGCCTGCCTGGAGTATTATGATGCGCAGAGCGAGCTGGTCGTGCGCGGCTGTCGCTCCAATGGCCAGCTCTACTACGAGTGTATGTTGCGGAGCACCAGCCAGACGGGCTGTCGTCTCTGCCACAATCACGGCTGCAATGAAACGCCCGGGCAACAATTGCGCGACGCTCAGCTGTTGCAGCGGGCGCTAATTTTGCGACCAGCGGCGGCGACAGCCATGGGAGCTACAACTATAACAAATATTTTAGGTTGGTTTAGCATAATTTATCAACTAACTGCATTAAACTAGACATGTTGTAAGCCGGCTTTAAATGGATATATAGTTGATGTAGCTACTCGTCCTCATTCAGCTCCGGCGGCTTGTAGCCGGGACTTAGAGCGCGACCGCGATGATTGAACATATAAAATGATGGAAAGTTGCCCAGCGTATCCCAGGTTCTCTGCTGCATATCCACGGTGGCGCGTATCTCCTTAAAGTTGCCCACAATTTGGATAATATTGTAAATGACCAGCACCAAGCTGATGACCGTTTGCAGTATAATCTGCAAGGATTTAATCATTATTTAAGACACAAAAGTGCAAATTATATACTCACATCTAATGGCAGAGTGGTCCACTCCTGCTCTGTCAGCCGCAAATAGGTGCGATCTGTTATAAATAAGAATTATATTTAAATTAATTCTCATTCTGATCAAAGGTTGACATCAATTTTCACTTACGATGTGCGGCGGAAAAAGCGGCATGCGCCAAGCTAGCAAAGCCCGCAATTAGCAGTAATTTATTCAAGAATTTGCTGCCCATTTTGACGTTTACTTTTAAATAGCAAATGCAGCAAATTTGTTTAAATAATCTATAGCGAACAAATTTAGCTGGTCTCTATGTGTAAGAAATTGTAATTGATTTTTGCCAGCTACGCGTCAACGTGTGTGTGCCTTGCCAGACCCAGCTAAAACAGCTGTTTGCCATTCGGCTGTGAGCGCCGCATGCGGCCTTGCCACATCTGTCGAAAACGTTCACAATCGACTCTTGCTACGCTCGTATGCGTCTCGCTCGCTCGCTTTACCTTTTCATTCGTATAGGCGACTTCGTGTGCTTTGGATGTTTTGCGCGCTTTATTAAAAAACCAAAATTACTCAGTTATAAACCAAACCCGCACAACTTTGTACACCGGTATTTGCGCGCGCATCTTATTGTTAAACAATTGACAACGCATTAAATTGCTACTGTTCCAGTCAATTGCCAGCTAGCAAACTAGTGAATTTTGTGTAGGCGTGACTGCACTTGTTTTAAGCCCTTTTCTGTGCGTGTGTGTGTGTATCCTTACATCCTCGCCTGTCTCCGCCGCCACCGCCGCCGCCGCCATCAACGAACTGTGCACAGGGTGTGGTGTTGAAAAATTCCAGCGCAAAGTAATCCAAAAAACCCAAAAAAAAAAGAAAAAACATGTCGGTCTCCTCGAATACATCGTCCGCCTCGCGCAACGGCAGTGTCGATGATAGCACAACAACAACAACAACAACGGACAGCTCGGAACTGACGCACATTTTGAACCGACGCCAGGAGATTATGGACTCCCAGGAGGCGGGCATCGAGGTGCCACGCACCTTCAAGGTGGTCAATGTATACACCGAATTCCATGAGTTTACGCGCAAGCAAATCAAGGATTATCAGAAGACCTTCAATACGTAAGTGTCCCCTATAAGAATATATGAAATTATAATACCCATTAAATAACTCCAATGAGGGTGCTTATTAGCTTAAAATAATATATTAAAAGAAACATATTTGTCTTGTTTGTTCTTAAAATGTAAAAAACTGAAATTAAGATCGTGGTCAATTTATTTGATAGTATTTTAGAGTTCAAGACTTTTCTTTTCATTTAATATTGCGTGTATTTTACTTTTATATATTATGGGAATTTATTTGGTCATTTTTGTATCTCCCTTTTTTCATCTCACATCAAAGAAAGTTAATTTTTGGCCTATTTAGCTGTCGTACAGGGTATTTCGTAGTCGTATAGCCGTGCTTGTTTATGTGCAAATTGCCTACTTCTTAGCCAAACTCAATTTGCAGCCTCACAACCGCTTGACACCTAACTAAAAAAAGGGCAAGCATAAAGCTTTTGCGGTTAATTGGCAACTAAATTGCATGACGCCCGCCCCCACCCATCCTACCCCTTAACAGCCTCACGAATGCAATGGGGCATGACTCACAGCAAGTACGCTTTGCGACTTTGTCACAGTCATTTTCACTCGTCGCTTAAGTTTTCAAATCCGCGACTCGCGACTCGCGACTCGGTTCGCCATGAGTCAAAGTGTGCGCTACTTAAGGGTATTACATATTCATAAATGTCTAGCTGCGGTTTTCAGTTTTCGGTTCAGTTTTCTGTTGCCAGACGTGAGTCGACCGTCGATAGGTCTGACACTTCGTCAAGTAGCTAGAATTTCCTTGTTTATACTCTGTTTACAAACTTAAAGCGAGTATATCGCGTTGATTACATGTGTGTATTGAAGCTGGCACAGTGTTGTAAAGTCTTAAATGAATCTCTACCTTTTAAAAACTATACTGGAAAAGTGTTGAAAAGTTGTAAAGTCTTAAATAAAGCTCTACCTTTCAAGGATTAAGTTACAAATATTACAGTTTGAAGGCAACTGTTTTACAGTCTCAGTTTTTGAGTTACTTACCTCACAGCCATTCATCCATTTCGAGCTAAAACTGTAAACAGAGTATTGCGCAGTCGACTGCATTTGCATCTTGTTGGTTTGTTGTAGGTGTCAGTTCTCGTATTACCAAAGACCCTGCTGCATCCGCCAAACGATCGCGTTCTCCGTGTCCAATGAAGCGCTAAATATGTTGCGCAATCTTAGCCAGCGAATCTGCATAGGTATTTTGATAACACAAGTATATATATAGAGTATATACAGAGTACTCTGCTTGGACAGACACTTGGCACGTCGCCTTTGATAACTTATCTCAGCTAATTTAAATTGGGCTTCTGCGCCCGCCGTTTTTGCTTTGCATCGAAAAAATATCTGTCTCTCCCTCCTCTCTCTTTGTCGCCCCCACGGCCACAATTCTCGGAACAGGCTGCTGATTCAGCGCTTAACGTTAAACCTCAACGAATCAGCTGCAGGTGTCGAGCAGAAAACCAGTGTTGAAAAGCTTAATTAGCTGTATTTAAACAAAAGATGAAGTTTGCATAAATCAACTAAATTGTTTGACGAACTGAAGTATTATTTATAAAATAATATAAAAGTATTTTAGTTGATTTTAATAACAAATACGATTAAATTATTTGAGCGTAAACTTTTCTTTTACTAGGAGCAAACTTATATTATTAAAAAATATTTAGTTTTGTTTCTAAAGAAAATTCAAAATATAGCTATATAAATATGTATGTAGCCATAAAACGGCTAGACAGAACAACACTGTACAGTACACACTGGCTAACAGGTAATCAAATTTGTCTGGCAATTAGCAGCTGGGCAGCACTGTACAAACAGACAGACAGGCAGACCAGCAGGTAATCAAATTGTGCTGACAATTAGCTGCTGGTCTCTGTGTGTGCTTTCCATTAGCATCTCTCTGGCCAACTGGAGCAGGTCTCCTAACTAGCTGGAATCCTGTGAATGCTATTTGAAAAAATAAAAAGAGCTGCTGTGAATCAGCGTTGGGCTAATTGGGTCACTCGACGGGCAAATCGGCGCTTGACACATTGTCAAAATGAAATATTTATAAGACGAGACACGGAAAAAAAAACAAACGAACGTGCCTTGAAAATGAAATCGGGCAGGGCCCCAACCCAAATGGCAGCTCCACAATGTCGGGCAATTGCTCAAGGCACCAAACTTAATACATATATCTAAAATACAGGGTATATTTTGTGAGTGTAATATAAAGCTTAAATATAATTTTAAAATAGACTGTAATTTATAGGGTTTAAAGTTTAATAGTCGAGCAGGGCAAAGATCTGGTTTAAACATTTAAATTATGCCTTGGTATAACCCATCTGTTATTAACCAGTTTGCCCTGTGCCAAGTGTTTTTCCTAGAATTTTAAATGCTGTGATTAATAACAAATTAAAATGCTTTGATTTTAGAGTGGATTTTAATGTACAAAATACATATAAAAGCTTAAATTCGAATCACAAATATTTTTAATATTAAACAAATCATTTAATTCGCGGCAAATTCTAAAAGTTTTCACTTTCACCCATTTTCCGATCGTGAATTATGGTTTCACAAAATCAATTAAAATCCAACTCGATTATTATAAAGCGCACCTTTTATGAATTTATTTAATATGTATAACAAGTTTTAGGGGTTAATTGATAAGTAGACCTTTCAACAGCTTAACAGCGTCAATTTCACCCGTTTTTCATGCGATTTAAATCCATTTGTTTCGCAACTTTTATAGTTATAGTCAATGCGTTACAAGAATTTCCGATTCAGCTCAACTTAGCGCAGTTGTTGAATTTCATGTGCATTTCAATTATAGAACTGGTTTCCATTTCATCGGGCATTATCTTCAAGTCAAGTTTAGCCCCCCTTTCCCCCCCCCCCCCCCCTCCCTCCCTCACTCTTTACTAAATGCCAATCGACATCTTCACGTGGTCTTTCAGGTTGTCGTCAAAGTTTACAAAAAACAATAACCGGCTGCGGCGTCTGCGCAGCTTTTGGCATTTTGAGTCGGCCAGCATAGCCCCCACCCTCCCCGCTCGACTCATGAATATATGCGCTAATTTTGTAAGTTTAGCGAACAAACTTGAAAACATGGCAAGTTGATGTTCTACTGAGTCATTGTTTTATAAAGAAATCGCTACTGATTCAGCGAATCCGCCGGCAGATAAACAAATAAACCAATAATAACATATTGCAAATTGTATAAACAATTTCACGAAAACAAACGTCATATGGGCTGGGCAAAAAAAAAAAAAAAAACCAGGGTATCTTCATTTCCTAGAGCCGATAACTTTCGAGGCGCACTGCACGGCCCAATTGTGCTTAAACAGATATGAATTTGTAATTGTAATTGTTTATACTTTACGAAAGAAGAAACAAGATGAAAGCTAACAAGAGTGCTGCAGTCGAGGTTGCCAGACTGGCAAATACCCTGTAAGCAGCCTTGTCGCATAAAGTTGTTATACATTTTATCTGTGTAAGCACTTTTCTTTTTCCAAGCTCAATTCTCAATATTCACTTATAAAAAACTTTTGCTTGATAATTTCAATATTTAAAAAAAAACCAAGAATATGTATGCAAAAAAACAATTTTTCAAATCTATGAAAGTTGAGAAGAGGCATTATAAAAATATAAATAAATATTTGTCTTACAAAAACCTGGCAGATAATTGAAATTGGGCTACTTCTTTCTGTTAGCTACTTGTACTCATAACCAATATGCCCTACTTTGCCCACTTTTTCAATTGGCTACAGGGTATAAAAACGAAGAGGAAACCTCATTTGCCCAGCGCAACTCTCAGCGCTAATCGGACACGCAATATGTAATGTTTTTTTTTTTTTATCTTATAGCGTCGTAATTATTTGTTGATATTGCTTGATTTTAGTTTCCGGGCTTTTATTTTGGATGCGCCATTTTCCGCACGCTTTTCCGGGGGCAGCAGCAGCAGACCCGAGCGATAAATACCAGACGCTCACAACTTGATAATATTGATTTTAGTTTTTATGTGCGACGCACCAAGTCTGGCAAAAATTTCACACATAGAGATAAATATACATAAATCAGGCAATGGGTGGCTGAAGCTGGAGCTGGGGCAGGGCGTCGTCTGGGCGTCCCGTCTGCTGCTGATAAAGTTGAAAATCCTTAAGCTGGAGAAGCAACCACCACCAACCTTCCCCTTCTCCAATGTCCATTTTGCAATTTGGCTTATTGCATATTTAAGTTAAATGAGTTCACACAGAAAATACATAAACAAACCACATTTGCATGCTAGTTCAGGCACAGCTATTTAGAGATGGGAGTTTGTTTGCTTTCTGGTTAAAGTAAAAAGCTAAAAGAAGCGGTTCATATCCATATTACCATTATAATATTTAAATGCATCTAAAAACTTTAAGTACAGTTGCGCACATTTAATTTGAGGTCATGAAATCTTAAGTCGATAAGCGATATATCGCGCCAAAAGCACGCTCATCTCTAGCAGCGATGTCAATGCCATGTCTCGCACTCTTACCGAGTCTGAGGCTCCGCTTCGCTTCCCCATATTACCATTATAATACTTAAATGCATCTAAATACATCAAGTACAGTTGCGCACATTCAATTTGAGGTTATGAAATCTTAAGTCGATAAGCGATATATCGCGCCAAAAGCACGCTCATCACTAGCAGCGATGTCAATGCTATACAAATTGGGTTCATGGCAAAGTGTACAGCAATAAAGAACAGGCACAAACACCAAATCAGTTACACACGCACTTTACAATTCGAGGGAGGGTTGTTTTGTCGGACCGTGTGTGGGCCCCACAATCAGCATATCATGGCAAACTGCGGCGAAAAGCTTTTAATTAAACCACAGTCACCACCCATTATCACTGGAGCATAAACCAGCCGCGAGCTCTTTCGCAAAAGGGGTTGTTGTTGCACATTTAAGGATAAACTGCAGCGGCCTTTGTGGCACTTCCTGTCTGTATGCCAGGCGAGGGGTCCAAAATGCATCATGCATATATGT